GGGTTTACAATCACCCAAAACCTAAACCCTCAAACAAACTCTCAGATCCCTCACAATATCTCTCTACAAAAGAACACAAAAGGCCTACACTCTTCTTTTGCTTTTTCTCTGCAGCCGCACGAACTCTGCAGCCGCACAAACAAATCTCCTTTGCGCTCCCTGTTCACCTCTGCAGCCGCAAACACCAAAGCCGAATCCTTTGCCCTGACGCGCAGCCACAAAACCAAAACCAACCTTGCTCTTCGTAGCCGCCAACAAAAAAAAGAATCCTTCCTTGCACTGCACGCAGCCCAACCCGATTGCACAGGAATCAGCCGCTCTCCCCTCTATTTTGCACCTTGCACAAAAACCTAGACAAAAAATCTCGTTGTTATTTATAAGAGGGAGGAAATCGGGTGGGCCTTGTTTTTCACTTGCAGCGGCTTTCACGTGGGTTTGGCAGCATCACATGGGCGGGTGGGCCCCATGTCAACATTTTATTCACAATTCTTCACCTCGGTGAAGTTTTCCTAAAACTGAGCCGACACCGACCACACCAAATGCCCCACTTGTTACGTCCAGTACGCCATGGCAACGGACTCATGACAACGGACTCCATCCACAACAAGTTGAAACCCAAACGGGAGTGCGAACACTCACCCAAACCAACAGTGTCTACTCACCAAATCGATCTCACCCCCATCAAATAATCTAACCCGGCTGCATCATAAAGACTGCCTACGTATCCTCTTGCCCAAGGAATCAAGCCTTACGTAGTTCACCCAAATGGCCGCTAACGACCTCAATCCAATAGAAGAGTTCGCAATCCTTCTCCAATATCATGATCAAGTCTACTGCTGATAGCACCTCCAATGGCCTCAAACAGCTCCACCTAAGGTGAACCAATGGCCATATTCAGACTACATCTATCAGCTGCACTCGAATCAATCAACTTATCATCTGCATCTGAATCAGCATGATTCCCAATCCGTGTCACATCAGCTGGAATCCCAAATAATGCAGTATGATCTGGAGTTTCCACCCAACGTGGAGTAGCATCACTCTCCACCCGCTGCAATGTCCCAAAGATCTGATCACCACTCCTCACCTACCGAGAGTCAAATGTGACATATCTGCTCAGAACAAAGTCAGAAGCCAATACCTGATAAACAAACACGCCTCTGAATCCCAAACGTGCTATCAAATCAAATCTCACATCCACGATGTGACCAAGTGCTGTGTAGCCAAACATCTGACGCAACCCAAAATCTGAAGCAGCTCCACCAGATCCAAAATCTCTACATGCAGCAGTCAGCAACCTATACATAAGATGGCCCAAACATGTCGTAACCCGCACACCAATACCAATGCTCGACATCAAACGCCGATCCTCCTCCAGAAAGGAACAGCTCCCCAAATCTGCCATCTCATCACGTCGCCTCAAAGTTTCCACACCAATGAAATGTCTCCAATTGCCGTGAGCTCGGCACAAATGCAGAAATAGATCCCTCTTGTACCTCCCTCTAACATCAGACTGAAGTACCTTCACCTTTCTGCCAATACACTTCCTCCATTTGTTGCGGGCTTCTAGGACTTCACACGAACGGGACTTGGTTGCAACCCACCAATACCTAGAACAATCCCTAACTGCGAAAACCACATACCTATTACCTCCCAATGATGCTCTCTTGGAAGGCTCCCAAATGCCTGAATGAACACCCCTCAGAAGACCCCTCGAATGATGGATAGAAGTGCCAAACTCTATCTCGGTCTTCTCGCTCATACCAATGGGTTTACAGGACTTCAAACTATAGGTCATAGCACTCCTCAACAACCTATGCACGGCATTACCAATCAAATAACCCAGCATCAAACAACGCCACAGTCTAGCCGAATCTGATGAAGTCGTCACCTCCCTATCAATCGCCGTGCTTCCGAGTAAATAATACAAATTGCTCCTTCTGACGTCCTTCATCACAATCATGGACCCCAATGTGACCTTCAAACGTGCATCCACCAAGGTCACTTTATAGCTAAATGCCACCAAAGCTCCGAGTGAAATGATGTTCTTCGACAACTGCGGAACGAACCTCACTTCCTCCAACTCCTGAATCACTCCGTCATACATTCGAATATGAACGGTACCAATACCACCAATAGAGCATGCATGTCCATTACCCATGAGCACAACATCCTCTCTTTCTAACTTCTGAAAGCTGGAGAACCAATCCCTCCTAGGACAAACGTGGTATGAAGCACCCGAATCCAACATCCACTCTGTAGAGTTGGCAACACAAACTGACGGTAGTGCAGACAACGAATATCCCGAAGAATCCGAATCTGAATTGTTGCCACTAGTCTTGATAACATTCACCTCTGAAGCTTGTACAGCTTTCCCCTTATTCTTCTCGGCTCGATCTAACTTTGGGCATTCGGCTTTCTAATATCCATCCTCTTTACAAAAGGCACATTGATTCCTACGAATCCCATGATGTGCACCTCTAGACTGCGACCTCCTGCTTCGGTTTGAATCACGGCCTTGAACTACTAATGCATCTCCCGATGCCTTCTCGGAGGACTCATCAACACTCTTCCTCAACTCATAATTCACCAATGCTGAGGTCACCTCCTTGTAACTAACAGTAGTTCTTCCATTAATCATAGTTAGGACAAAAGTACCATAATCATCATCGGGCAACGAACACAAAAGTAGCATCGCATTGTCTTCATCCTCAACCATGATATCCACATTAGCCATGTCTAAAAGTAGCTTTGTGAAGTTGTTAACATGCTCCCTAATGAAAATTCTCCTCTTCATCTTGAACTGGTAAAACCTCTTCTTCAAGTGAAGCCGATTCTCAATGCTCTTAGTAAGATACTTTTCATTGAGTGTTTCCCACATCTTCTTCGCCGACGTCTCGTTCATCACGTCATAAATAAGATCCAGCGTCAAGCATGACCGAATAACTCCACACGCCCTACTATTTATCTTCTTCCAAACCTTAGCTTCCATCTCGACAGGTTTCTCTTGTAACTCAAGAGTCTCCTCCAAATTCTGAGCGTCCAAGGCGTCCATCACCTGACACCTCCACAATCCGAAATTAATCTTGCCGTCGAACTTCGGAACATCAATCTTTATGTTATTGATGCTTAAATTATGTATCGTCTTCGTAAGAGACGATCCCGATGTGCTTGTTTCACCCATGTTGTCGATCTAATATTCAAATAGGAATCCTTCAGCGAATCCTTCAAACAAGCTCCCAAGTCTAACCCAGAGTTCTGATATCACTTGTTGTGCGCAGCGGAAATTTCGGCAGCACCTCCGGTACGCAAGGTGCACAACAAGAGATTAGATCGTAAGAATTCCCGTCTCACCAAGAAAACAAGAATCTAAAGCGGATATCTCAACAAAGTGAGATATCAGCTCTTCCTCTCATCAGTTCTAGGACTGACCTGTCGAGGGATCCTACAAGCTATTACAAATCACGACAAGAATACAAATTTTACGTGGTTCGGCAAACTGCCTACGTCCACGGGGCAATGAGGGGGGAGATCTACTATTAGAGGGAGAGAAAATAACTAGGGTTTACAATCACTCACAACCTAAACCCTCAAACAAACTCTCAGATCCCTCACAATATCTCTCTACAAAAGAACACAAAAGGCCTGCATTCTTCTTTTGCTTTTTCTCTACAGCCGCACGAACTCTGCAGCCGCACAAACAAATCTCCTTTGCGCTCCCTGTTCACCTCTGCAGCCGCAAACACCAAAGCCGAATCCTTTGCCCCGACGCGCAGCCACAAAACCAAAACCAGCCTTGCTCTTCGTAGCCGCCAACAAAAAAAAAATCCTTCCTTGCACTGCACGCCTCCCAACCCGATTGCACAGGAATCAACCGCTCTCCCCTCTATTTTGCACCTTGCACAAAAACCTAGACAAAAAATCTCGTTGTTATTTATAAGAGGGAGGAAATCGGGTAGGCCTTGTTTTTCACTTGCAGCGGCTTTCACGTGGGTTTGGCAGCATCACATGGGCGGGTGGGCCCCATGTCAACATTTTATTCACATATGCATCTAAGTGGTAATAATGTTTAAGATTTCATGAAAATGATGAAGAATAATGATTTGGTTGTATTTAGCTTTGCTGTTTTGTTGTTGAGATGTTCGAGATTTCATGGAATATGTGCTGTCTACCGTTGCTTAATTGCTAAAATAGGTGAATTGCAGTGATTATGGTTTAACCTTGTATTTTGACGAGTAGGTGTTCTTATCTGAGGCATAAGGGTTATGGCTTATGGTTAAAATCTTAGATTCTTTACTTGAAACCTATCTTATTTAGATTTGATGCAAGGTCTACTCAATTAAGTCGCAGTTGCATTACTTGGTCCTTGACAGTTTAAGCGCATGTAAAAAAGTAGTAATATCATCATATGTCTGTCTGGTTCTTCTATCCGTGAGACGTAAATTAATTCTATGGTCTATAGTGGCTTATGATTCTGGATTGGTTTTTTGACAATCGCACTTTGGCCATCTTCCCTTTTCTTTAAAAAAAAGGCAATCATTATTTGCTGAACATCGTAAAATACTTTGCCATGTCTAACAGCTCATTGTTATCACATTTTGCTTGTCATAAAATGCTGCCAATCTGTCATATATGTCAATGTCTTTTGCTGTGTGTATTTGGAACTATCCTACACACACATCTGTGCACATACTGTCAGAAAGATATGTGTAGTAAAACACCCCCCAAACACTAGCTGGTAGATTATGTCTGTGAGGATTTGGTTTACATACACATACATGCACTAATCTCTTTAGTTACGGATGTTATACCATTTACCTATAAATTTCACAGTACACCACCCATAATGGAAGATCTCAAAAAACCAACAGTCTAGCAATCACAATCCACATTTAAAGTTGAGTTTGTATCGGTGTTCATTGACCCCTAATCAACAAATTCTGAGCATGTATAATGACCTCTACAGAATTCAGATGAGAAAATGCAACCAATTAGTATCATGCTAAAATTAAAACATTTACTCATTCTTGCATTTGGAACATTGATTGATTCAGCACTTGATAATCATGGATTATTGGGAAGCTGAAACTTGTTCACACATATAAGTACACATCTTCTCTAGCTTTAAGCTTAACCATCACTATCAGCTTAATTTCCAATAAGCATTTCCTGAGAGAATGTGTTTGTTTAGAAGGCACCACCTGGTCACACATATCCAAATAAGATTTCATTTAGTACGTGGTGAAACCACAATCAGGCCATATATATATTTCACAAAGACGAATTTACAAACTTGTAAGGCCACTAATTTTTTTGACTTGGTAGTTTATTAATCGATTATCTCTTGTTTTAAGTAAAAGTTAGAGTTGAAATACCCAGCTAATCATAACAGAGGAAGAAGCTAACCTTCTAGTCAATGGTGGATTACTGGTGGTTTGACTGCCACCCACGGTGGTGGTGGATAATAAGGTCTTCTATCTGAAAACAGTAAGTTTGTTGCTAATCATGAAGTTCCTTTGACATATTTTATGGTGTTGCTTTGGAATAATAAAGATGGCTTACCTGCAGGAACTGTGCTTGATGAAAATACATTAAGCGCGAGGAAAACGAAGGTGACGATGATCATGCAGCAGAAATGAGTTGAGAACTTCATTGACAAATCTTCTTGGGGAACTAATCCGGGCCAAATAATTTGGACGAAGATATGTTTTTATTTTTCGAGGTATGTTTTCAAGGTTGCTTAGTTACTGGTTGCTCCATTTTATATATTTTTTAGATGGAACGGAATGATGGAGTGTTTGTCTTGTTCTTTCCTTCTACTTTACCTTTAACAAAGGTCCATTAGCTGACTTGATTCTTGCTTGTTGCTTCTTCTGCTTTTTTTTTTATAATGAATTTATCATGGTGGGTTGTTAGCATTCTTAACTAAGTTTGGACCGGACCATATTATGTCGATGTCTCATTGGTTCCACAACCTCGCTCTTTTTCTTTACTAGTTGTACTCTATCACCTAACTGTGTACGACTGAAATTTCAATGAATGTTTCATGCAAGATTGAAGTCCACAAAGCTGACTCAAGTTTTGTTGCATGGTCTTTTTATTAAACAGAGCTGGTATTCTTTCTACTTGTAAACATAACGGACCTTTGACTATAATATTCAGTGTTTGACTGAGTCCCATGACTACCTTGTAGTGCTTATTTCAGTGGATATGAAGGAAGCATTTCACATTGGTCATATTGTTGTGCGCCGCGGAAGCCCGATTAGACAAAATCAATAGCACACACAAGAACCATAATAGATCACAATAGCCACAAGTAACCCAATCACAGTAAGAACACAAGATATACGTGGTTCGACAATGTGCCTACATCCACGGGGCAAGGAGGGGAGAGTTTTACTATTTGAAATCAAGGGGAATACAAATCAGGGTTACAAATCTTACTAAAACCCACAAATAAGCCCACTTAATCTCTCCAAATGGCTCCAACAATAGAAGCCCCAAATCTCCTTGATTGGCTGCTCAAAATCTTCTCCTTAAACCCTAAAACCGAGTTAAGGGTATTTATACAACTCCCAAACGAAACGGGTCTGGAAACAGAACCCAGGCCCAAACCGCTTCGGCGGTCGACCGTGACGGTCGACCGCGATCCATCGCGGTCGACTGCCACGGTCGACCGCCCGCAATCCCAGAGCAGCAACGAATCTCCAGCAACTTCTGCGATTGACCGTGACGACCGACCGCCCCGAAAACAGAAACTTCGCGGTCGACCGCCACTGATCCAAACGCATATTAAGCACTGTGCACGAACGCGGTCAACTGCCACGGTCGACCACCACCATGTCTGCTTGAATCCTGAGCCTGAATACTGCTATTCGGCCAATTCTACAAATCTCCACCTCGGCGAACGTTTTGCTAAAACTGAGCCGACAACAAAACACCCCCAATCAATCTCAACTCATACAACCGGCTGCATCTGCAAGACTGTCTACGTATCCTCTTGCCCAAGGAATCAAACCGAACGTAGTTCATCCAAATGGCCGCCAACGGCCTCAACAACGAAGAATGTTCAATAAATTCAAACAGTGACCAAACATCACACCTGGTACAACTTTGGTCAACATATCAACAGGGTTGTCCTTAGGATCTTCTCTCAACGTGACATCGCCATCATCCAAGCACACGTACAAAATAAAATCTGACTTAATGCCACTGTAGACTGAAGAGTACATCTCCAACACACCGGTGCACTAGCCAATGTAAAAACATAACCTGTAGTGGACCGACACTTGTCAAGATCTCCGGCATAGTCTGAATCCACTTAGCCAATACAATCTTGCCCTGTCTCATCATTCTTCACAAATATCAACCCAACATCCACGGTACCCTTAATATACCGTAGAATCCACTTCACGGCCTCCCAATGTTCCTTTCCGGGGTTGTGCATGTACCTAGATACCATGCTCACGGTGTAAAACCCCGTAATTTTTATAATGAATATATGTGAATTATTAGTGATAAATAATTCTTTTATGATAAATAATCGGTCCCCTTAATATACCGTAGAATCCACTTCACGGCCTCCCAATGTTCCTTTCCGGGGTTGTGCATGTACCTAGATACCATGCTCACGGTGTAAAACCCCGTAATTTTTATAATGAATATATGTGAATTATTAGTGATAAATAATTCTTTTATGATAAATAATCATA